AAACCAATATATCTAATCCCAGAGGTGAGGTGAATCTCTCCCCTGCTTCACGTCCTGTAATTCCACTGCTCGCCCTGTTTAATACACTATACAGTCATTTGGATTTACAAGCATTTGCTCCATATGTGACCTCCGCTTAGTGACATCATTGTTATAAAGGAATTAAATTTGTGGAGGCTCCATGAAGACTGTGAGACAGCGTGTTTGTGTGTGTGTGCGTGCGTGAGTGAGTGAGAGAGAGAGACATGAGAGAGACAGACAGACAGGATAAAGCAATTGATCTTCATGAATCTGACATGCCTGTCCACATGAAAATAAATCACAGGAGCAAAGTACCCATTACACTCCAAAACAGACAACAGAAATTGACATGAATAAGAATGATTTAGATATCAAGTTTTGCTTTCTTTTTATGGGTCACTAATGTCGATGAAAGGTTTTCTAAAAAAAAAAATATTTGATTTGCATTTCTTTGGGTGAGCCAATCTGAGCGTTCTGCATTGTTGATGAATCCTGTTTTGATCTAAATAATGAATCAATTTAGCTATTTGCAGTGCATCCTCCAAAAAGATTCTTCGGTCACAAACATGGGACAAAACTGATCATATTTCTGTCCAAAACAGAAATAAATTATATTTTGTATATTTTATTCATTTATAAATGTGCATTACTGTAATGCAAAGCATCTCAGTCACATTACAGTATTGAAAAAAAAATCTGTTCTAGCTTTAATTTTATTAAGTTGATTTAAATCAATGCATGCATTAATAGTGGCTTTACAGAAGAAAAAACAGTATTACAGTTATGAGAATCTAATGCGAATCAATATTAAGAATAATAGGAATTACAAAAAAATAGAGAAATGTCATGAAAAACAATGCAAAAAAATCAGTTAAAAAGAGATTAATTTTTTTTATACATGCAACCTTATTTTTCACATAAGAGTGGAAGTGGCCATTTGTAAATTCTGCTTCCAGTTATTTTTAGCCGCATTCAAAACAGCTTGCTTGAAATTGCAAACTGTTTTTTTATTATACAATATTATGTTAATATATCGTCTTAATTATAAACCCTGTTTGTAGTGCAAATAGTTTTACAGTTTACTGCACTTAATTCGCTATTCACAGAAAACTGCTTTAAAAAAATTGTTTTAGAAAGTGCATTTATTTTTGACATTGACAACATATTTCAAACTCAACCCATCAAACAGACATCATGTTCCACTGATTGAGGAGACAATGAGACATATCTTTGCTGTCGTCTCAAAAAGAGTTTACACGCATTTAAGACGTTACAGTCTCAGACTGAGTAACAAAATACTCAAATACTGTGACAGCATATAAAACCCTTAAAGGAATAATCAAACAATGAAAATCTGTAAACACACACACACATGCATATGCAGAATACTTGAGTTATGCGAGTCATCTGACCTACTTTTATGCTGCTTTTTGGACAGGTCGGAAAAGCACATTGTAACCTTGGGAAAGGTTTTCAGAGAAAGTTAATTGGAGTGGGGTCTGATCTTATCATGGACGTTCAATCTGTGTTAGTTAACAGTAAAACTCCAGGCACACTCCAGAGCTCGCTGCAGCCTCCTCGTGCTGAATGGAAATAGCCTGAAGCAATTAGCCCACTAAGACTCACTCATTAGGAGGTAAGAAGTGAATGAGATCTGCTCGCCACAGCTAATCAATATTAATGATGGATTATTTACAATTAACAATGGGCCCTTAATGGCCACCTAATTGTTTGTTTTGGCTTAACGTGGCGAGGTGAGAGCAGCAGATAAACTAAGGACATTAGTGTGAGAGAGGAGCGAAATATCTTCTCACTTTCTTTCACAGCACAGATAAGCTCATTTGTAATGGAGGCCTGTTTTGTTTTTCATGCAGAGCTCCAACAACAAATGTTTTTTTAGCCCCTTAAAATCAAAATGAGAGTTTCTCAGCTAACAGGGAATGTTCTCAGAATTTGCCGTGACATTAATAGAATGTTCATTCAAAGTTATCCGGACTTTACTAATGTTCTCAGAACGTTAGCAATGATTTAGTTGGACGTTCGTCTAACATTTGTTAAATGTTACTACTTTTAGAATGCTTAGAGAACATTCAAACTTTGGATATAGTGCAACCTAAATGCCCATTAGCTTTGAGACCATATTTGTAGTGTTGAACATTGACAGTAATAGGATACAAATTATTAATCTTACACAGATTTTTGGACATGCTTTTAAAATCTTACCGCAAATCTTCCTGATAGGAAATAATAAGAAAACTACACTCGTCAAATTCAATACTACATTTATGAGCAAATCCAATTTCAATTACATGAACATTGCGTTTGTAGTTTAAATGCTCATGTGGTCGAATGAATTTGAACAGCGCCACTTGCTACAAGGTTGAAACTTAGCCAGTTGTGTTGGAGAAAGTTACTTTTAAAAGTAATGTGTTACAATATTGCGTTACTCCCTAAAAAGTAACTAATTGCATATAGTTACTTTTTATGGAAAGTAATGCGTTACATTACATTTTTCTCATCTGAGCTGTAAAAAAAAGGTTTTGGCAAATGTAAAGGCCCTTTCATAGCAAAAGTGAAAATGCAAAAGCAAGTGCAAATTCACATCTGTACAGTAGAGGGCGCAGCTCAAAGAAATCTTTCAGCTGTACTGACTTTCTGGATTGCAGAAGAATAGAGAAGGTTCGACACTTACTTTAACAATAATAATAAAAAAAACACACAAATTATTTGATGTTGAAGTCATTTTTTGTTTATTATTACGATTGAATTAGATTATACAAGGTCATCAGAAAAGACGTTGGTCAAAAAAATGAGATTAAATACATACGTTGTGTAATTTAACAGTTAGTTATTGCAGGTTTGTGTAACATTCTGAGTACGTATTTCACAGTTTTTATTCATTTTGAGGAATACTGATGGCTCTACTGTGGAGTTTCAAACTAAATTGAGGAATTTAGGAGTAATTTTTGATGCCAATTTAACGTTTGAGCCACATGTTTTGAATAATGTCCATCTTAGAAATATTGCCAGATTGCGTCCAATGCTGTCGTTTACTGTTACAGAGAGATTGATAAACACTTTTGTGTTTTCGCGTATTGATTACTGTAATGCCTTGTTAGCTGGCGTGTCAAAAGTAACCTTAAACAGAATGCAGGTTTTACAAAATTCGGCTGCCAGGATCCTTACCAGAACTAACATACGAGACCATATTACTCCCGTTTTGGAGTCTTTTGCACTGGCTTCCCATTAGGTTTAGGGTGGATTTCAAGATTTTGATGCTTACAAGGTACTGCATGGTTTGGCACCTCGATATTTGACAGAGCTTTTAACTCCATATACTCCAAAACGTGATCTTCGTTCTTCAGATAGGCCTACTGGTCTTTTAACTGTTCCCTCAACCCGTTTGAGATTAATGGGAGATAGGGCTTTTTCTTCATTAGCTCCAAAACTTTGGAGCTCTCTAAGATCAGGCAAGCCAAATCTTTTGGAATCTTTAAATCTCAGCTTAAAACAAATTTTTTTTAGGTTAGCTTTTAATTGATTTAATGTCTTTTATGCTTGTTGTTTTTTATGTTTATTTTACTGTGTATTATGTCTCTTTTGTGTGTTGTATCTTTGCTATTTTAATTGTTTTTGTACAGTGGTTTGAGATGTACATTTAAAGGCGCAATAGAAAATAAAGGTTATTATTATATTACTGTATATAATACTGATATATATATATATATATATATATATATATATATATATATATATATATATATATATATATCTTACAGATGTGTAAATTCACACTCACATCCAGTCTAGATAGAATTACAGTATAGCCTAACCATCATGTTCACACCTGATGAACTTACTCACGCTTTCTCTCAAAATGGGGACAGGAGAGCTATCAACTTGCATTACTTATTTGAAAAAGTAACTCAGCTATTTTGTTGAAAGTAATGCGTTACTTTAGTTACTTGGAAAAAGTAATCTGATTATGAAACTCGCGTTACTTGTAATGCTTTACCCCCAGCACCGCCGGTTACGTGCTGCCAAATAACTGTCCGATTGAAATGATATCAACAATGTGACAGAGGTCAATTGAATCTGAAGTTCTCACATGCACATAAATAAAATAACTCAGAATTTTGCTTGCAACATCATATTTTTTCACGCTTCCTTACGTTCTTTCTTTTGTTTTCATATGTGCTTTATCGATATGCAATTTCATTCAACTAGTCAAAAACGCACCTCAATACCAGTAAAAAGGGCCATAGGGCGATCAATTTACAGCTCATGTAATTGACAAAAAAAAAAAATCTAGATGATTGGGAACACTAAATGGATAGTTTTCTAGGTATATTAAAACACACTTATTGTGCCAGTGAGCTAAAGGTATTCAACATTGAAAAAACATTACTTAAAAAACATTAAAGTCTCAGCACCTGACGGGAGACAAGCATATTGTGTGGAAAAAACAACGTTTGGGGTGTGTAAAAAATCAGATACTACCTGAGACCGCAGGTTAATTTATGACCTTTTCTTGCTGACTCCTCCTGAAGTTTGGTCAAAACCCATGATTTCTAACCCATGGTTTCACCCCCACCCCAACTCAAAGTTGAGCATTTTGATTGGATGTTGTGTTTCCCAGCTCACACCTTTTTTTTACACTTTTGTTTGGCAAATGGGGGAGGCACCCTGCAGTTTAAGAGGGGGTCACCAAAGTTACAGCTCTGTTTCTTACCCACCTTCTTGCTCATTCAGCCTGTTGCACTTTTGTGCACACAGCAACACTGCTCAGTTTATCAGGATACTTTGACGACTGCACATATACTAAAACCTGGAAACACTGTATTTTGGGATTTTCAGGCCTAATAAGTGGTGAGGACCACTCATGTCCCTCAAGAGTGCATTTTTTAGCCTTCTGCACTGACATAAGAGCTACTTCTGCTATCTAAGACAAGGACTTTTTCATATTTTGATTGACTTTAGCAAGTTTAACTTTATGAACAATGGCTTATTTACTAGTTATACTAGTACTGATGCTAGTTTCAGTATCTGAGGCATTTCATCTGGAGAACATTGGTCGTTTTGACTGGCAGAAGAGCCTTCGACCAGGTGAGGGATGCCCTAAAAAGTGCCACCCTGAGAGGTGCCCAGATGTTAGGCAGCTGCAGGGTTGTCCAGCCGGGCTGGTTCGGGACCAGTGCGGGTGTTGCTGGGAGTGTGGGAACGATGAGGGGCAGCTGTGTGACCCGGAGCCCCGGTCCGGGTCTAATTTCTACGGGCGCTGTGCTGAAGGTTTGCGCTGCAGAGCTCCTCGCAGAAACCCCACAGGCGAGCCCAGAGCCGTGTGCGTGTGCAGCAAGCAGGAAGCACTCTGCGCTTCTGATGGAAAGACATTTAAGAATATATGCCAGTTTCGGGCAGCCCAACACAAACAAGGCAAAGGTCAGACGTTGACAATGGTGCACCACGGACCCTGCAAGACAAGTGAGTATCTCTGAACAAACTGATTAATTCTTATATATATATATAATATATATATATATATATATATATATATATACAAAGTATATATATATATATATATATATATATATATATGTATATATATATATATATATATATATATCCAGTCATATATATATATATATATATATATATGTATATATATATATATATATATATATATATATATATATATATATATGTCATATATATATATATATATATATATATTGTAATTCCCATTATTCTCAATGGGGGTTTTCATTACTGCAAATTTCTACAGTGAAATTGAACTTTACTATGGTAAATACAACATGTTTTTTTTTTTTAAATTCCATTTAAAATAGCAGCACAACAAATACTACCATGATGTATATAAACACTTTACAATTCATATATTTTAAATATCTTATGATGCATGTTAGAGCTGTTTTAACTGAAAGCAACTTGCACTGACATATCTTAAAATATACCAGTGCTATTGTTTTGTCTCAAGATGCACACCAGTAATGTTTTTTTCTAAGGCACGTTTATAAAAGATACTTAAATGTTCTAAATAAAATAAAGCCTAATCCTGGCTTAATCGAAACTCTGTCTGTGAAACCGGGCCATTATATATTAAATTATATATTCACATGACAATAATCAGAATGTGGTTGTTTGCATTAATGTAAGGAGAATTGGGTGGGGGTACTACATTGTGATAAAAATAAAGTCACAATGTAAAAAATTAATAGTCCTAAAACAGACATAATTTTCTTCCAACAATTATTTTTTTTTGGGGTCTCAAAACGTGGCCTGGACATTTCTTGACAGAGATTTACCCTTCTAAAGGCCTGCAAACACTTTTCTTTTTGACATTTGATTTCATTTTTTGTCTAAGTACTTGACTTGTTTGCTCTGCTACCTCACCTAATGTAAATGTATATATATATATAGATGTAAATGTCCTCTCAGGAGGAACCATTGTCATGGACAGAGTCTGAGTGCCAACATAATCGCCTCATTAAAAGTTTTGTCATGGAAAAAGCCAAATGAAAACCCATTTGTTGTTCAACAGTGGGAATAAAAATTCAGCCATTAGGTTTGTATTTACCTTACCGTCATGTTTAAGATTAGCAGCTCGTAAGTGTCCAATCTCGCACCTTAAAATAATTAACTGAGCTACCCAAACACAGCACAAATGGCCACCGCAAATACAGAAGCTGGTGTGAAAGAACCATCCACTAGCAGAGATTTGCTTTGGGATACTTTTTAACTTAATATATGTTATGTTTTATTTGACTAATTAAACCTCTCATTATTCCTCCCTTCCTATTCAAGCTTGTAGTATATTTTGAACAATGTCTGAAATGTTGTACTACTAGCACTTCTCTTGTGATGAATCGCTTGTATTCCTCAATTGTAAGTTGCTTTAGATAAAAGCCTTTGCTAAATGAATAAATATAAATGTAATTAGTTCCTCTAAGTTTACATCTGCAAACTTTACAGAACCAGTTATCACTTACGCTCCCCATGACATCGTCACAGCCAAAGGAAGTGATGTCATCTTTTCCTGTGAGGTGTCGTCGTATCCACTGGCTTCCGTCCAGTGGCGTAAAGAGGGGGACGTTATTTCTTTTCCTGCTGATGATTCAAGCACGGCTGTACAGGTGCGTGCACATACAAGTGAACAACAAAACGGGGGAAAACATTTTATAGCGACATCCTGCTTACAAAATATTAGTCATATTCTTTAGTATTTTTCATTGCATTGTCTATATAATTGAAGCTTTAACAGACAAACACAATTACATTCTCACCAGGTTTGCATTCTAGTCACAGTTCTGGTTTTGTTAAATGTGCGATGGTGTGTTTCTGTAATGATAGGCCCGTGGAGGTCCGCGGAGGTTTGAATTGACCGGCTGGCTCCAGATTCAAAGAGTCGGCCCGAACGATGCAGGTGTGTACACATGCACCGCCAGGAACGCCTTCGGAGAGGTGTCTGCCTCCGCCAGATTACAGGTTACACATGGAGGTATGTCTGAGAACACTCATTCAGAGACACAGACACGGCCTTTAGAAAACAAGGTCAGAGGTGAACAAGCTGAAAAAACATGATCGTTGGGGCTGCTTCCACACACTCACAGACACGAACCCCACTGTTAAAGTGTTGTACGCACACACTTATACCTGGAGGAATATGTTATTGTTCAGAAGTCGCTTGTTCATAACTCAGGAGACTTGGTTCCATTTAAGTATCAATAATGTTTCTCCTAAAATTCAATAAAAATAGGCACAAATGAGTCCGCCTAGCTCAGTTTGATTTTGGAAGAATATGATGACAAATATAGTTAATATTTGAGATCTCTGACTTTGATTTCAGATTTTGGTATCTTAGCAAATCTGAGCACATTTTGAGACCCAATGGAAGTCTCTTCTGAAACTTTGTATATGAGATTTCTGGGGTATTTTTCTAAGAAGAAAAATCAGAAAGATTATATATGTATGTATATATATATATATATATATATATATATATATATATATATATATATATATATATATATACATACATACATATATAATCTTTCAGATTTTTCTTCTTTAATCTTTCAGATTTTATATATATATATATATATATATATATATATATATATATATATATATATATATATATATATATATATATATATATATATATAACTTTCTTATGATTAACCAGTTTTATGTTAGTTGACTTGTATTTATCTTGTGCAGTCATGAAAGTTGACATCCTCATCTAAGTACTTTTACATGGCAAAAAATGATTTTCTTCCTCAGTGTTTTTGTCTTGTTTTCCAATACAAATATCTAAACATTGTTAAATCGAGATGCATTCACTTGAGAAACAAAATTACTTTCTGGAAAATCTATCAAAACTTAGAGACTTATTTTTCTCACGTCAATGTCAGACATTTTTCTTAAATTTTTGAAGTGTAATAAAGCCACTAAATTTGTATAATTGTTTTAGAAAACAAGAGTTGTTATCTTGTGTCGTTTTGCTTCTTAAGTAAATGTATCTCGATTTAAGAATGTTAAGGTATTTGTCCTGGAAAACCAACAAAAAATACTGAGGAAGAAAATCATTTTTCAAATCAAAATTCAAAAATCAACATTTTTGCAGTGTGGTAACCTGATGCAAACCACAAACATTCATTTCCCTTTAATTTGAACATTTGTCTTGTTTTAACATTGAAAAATATCCGTCCACACTGCAGAGAGAGGTCTGTTGGGTTATTCCTGCTCTCTCTGCGGTCTGTGGCGTGGACATGTGAACGCACCAACAGTGGGAGCTGATCGATTCACATTGGCTATATCAAAGCTTATCATCTCCTCATCGCTAAAGGTGAACTTGGCCTTTCCGAGAATCAGTCAGGGCTGACGATAACCGTACACCGAGGGCTTTCTGCAGGAGCAACGTAAAGGCTGGTGATGACAGGAGGTCGAGAGGGCCCTGGATGGGGGGAGATTTGGAAGGGAAAGGGAGAAGGGGTGGAAGGGCTTGTGTATTATGTGGCAGGTCGTTGCTGTGACTGTCTGGCTGTTATCTCTTTCTCTGGGGGGTCTGTTCCCCTTATCTGCACCACCAGTGCCTGCCCCCCCCTCGTTTCCCGGAACGTCCCGACTGAAATGAACTCTGGGATAGGTGGCAGTGAAAGGTGACTCTGGACACAGGACAGACCTTTTCCTATAGGTTTAGAGAAAAATAGAAAGAGGCGATTCAAATATATCATGCTTGTTTTACAGGACGCTATGGGCATATTAAATAAATGCTGAGCTTTCTAAAAATTATAAAATGTAGACGTGCTGCTTTTTATTTAGTGCATTAATTAATAGATCCTCTTAGAATGCTGGCTGTTCATTGCATTCTCACTCTGTTAATTAAAAAAAAAATCTACTAAGAATGTATTATTATTATTGTATATGATATTAATTATATTATATTAAAAAAATTGCATATTTATGATGCATCATAAATAATTAATACAATTAATCAAATTGTTCTCCCTTTATGTTTTCCAGGTTCTCAGCTGAACAAAGAGTTCCGGCAAAAAGAAAGCGGAGCTTATAGAATATCAGGCGAAGAGGTGAATGTCGACGATGAAGATTACGAAGGCCAGCCTAGTGGACATATGTATTTGTAGCATATAGATATTATAAAAACATAGCATTTAATCACAGATGTTTCTTAATATGTTTGAAATGTAAGCTCACCGTAAAATGTGTACTCTTAAAATATGGGGCGTTGTATATAAATCCAAAATAATTTCTATTCACTCTTGAGATTTGTACTTAAAAAAATAGAACTTAATTAAATAGTTGATTTACTCATCGAGTCATTTATTGTTCATAATGCATGTCGGAAAATCTACAATATTTGCAAAGTGGTTTGTTTAGGGCAAAAACCTTTACAGCCATTATGCAAAAGTGCATGTGTGTGCCGGACTTCTCTAAAAGCCCCCCCCAAAAAAATGCAGACGATGCTGCCGTGGCATGGCATGCATTTACCCCGGCCGAAACCATTCCCTGCTTTTGAATAAAACATCAGCATTGTCTCTCCTCACTTCTGGCTTCTCAAAGACGCTCAGCAGAGGAAAAAAAAAGCACCCAGGTTAAGTTGTTTGAAAGCTCTGGTATTAAGAGGCGTTTTACACTTAAGAAGTTGGTTTCGTTGGGTTTTCTCTTCCCTCCCCTATTGATTGATGCTTAGCTATCAATGCATAATAGAAAAGCACTCAGGACAAATGTGGGGTTATGGCCTTCCAGGGAGAGAGCAGACCAGGCTGTTTCTCAGCGCCATTATTGCCCCATAAAGGATCCCCGGGGAGGGACAAGTTCCTCACATCAGCACACACCAAATACCCAATTAAAAAAGAAGACCTTTAAATTCTCTCCTCTTTCCTGGGCAGAAATCAATCAGAATTCAATCTGTTCGGCTAGGATTCCGACAGGCCAGGTAATTGCTCACCAGAGCTCGGGATAGGTGACAACAGCTTCGAGGCGAGCCAATCAGGTGTTCTCTTTCAGCGCCGCTACTGTCGGTGAGAAAGCAATGATACCTGACGAAAGCTTATCTGTACGCTTTCAGGATGCCTTGTATTTTTAGACTCCTGGTGGCAGGTGAGGACTTCCTTTTATAGGCATCAGGTAAGCGATACGACTTCAAGCTTTAAAATAAATGGATCATTTAAAGTAAGTGGCTCTCATATTCGTCTTCTTAAAAGCTCTTTGAAAATGAATTCCAATTTGGAATGATTTGTACTCCGAGAGGCGTTTGCTGGGGAGCGCGCAACACGATTGGGTGAGCGAGAATGTGAGAGAATCTGGGAGAGGGAGGGAGGGAAAGATAGATGGATGAAGATGTGATATGGAGTTAGAAGAATGCAATTAAAAGCTGAATCATTCTCACTCCAGCGTAACTCTATCCGTTGAGATGAGAGCCGAGCCTCTTTCTCATGGCTGTATTTGTGTGGATAAAGCTCTCCCCTGGCCCTCGTTTTAGATTCGCGCTTAATGATCCCCACTCCGATGGGAGAGAGTGGGCTGCTGTCAGGATGGGAGACGCGATCCGGGACGCAGCAGTGCCCGAGTCCCTCTGGCCGGCAACACCATGTGCAGGGGTCAGCCGGGGTCAGAGGTCATGGGCAGAGAGCTGGTATTAATGGACATCTCAATAAAACGCTGGGTCAGGTTACTAGTTGCCCAGACTGACCAAAACACACACACACACACGCATGCACGCACACACACACATACGCATGCACGCACGCATGCAGAGTTTCTATGTTTTAAGGGGACTCTCCTATAGGCGTAATGATTTTTATACTGTATAAACTGTATATTCGATACCACTAACCCTACCCATCACAGAAAACTTTCTGAATTTTTACATTTTCAAAAAAACTCATTCTGAATGATTTATAAGCTTGGAGTCCTCAATTTAGGTCCCCACGGTGACATGAGTCCCCATGTGTCTATGTGCATTCAGGTTTAAGTCCCCACTAGGATAGAAAAACATGTAGGCCTACACACACACAGACACACAAAGTTTTTATATCTTTACTCTCCATATAGATGTAATGATTTTTATACCCTTACACTAACCCTACCTCTAAACCTACCCATCGCAGAAGACGAGATATTATGGGATATTTTCATAAAACATCACTTGGTATGATGTATAAGCTGTTTTCCTCATGGTCCTCGAATAAATGGCCCCACAATGTTACAAATTTTGCACATTTTACTATTTATGTAGGGACATTTGGTCCTCTCATTGTAGAGGAATAAGAATAATACACACACACACACACACACACACACACCACTTTAGACTCACCTCACATGAGTAGAAGATGATGTGGTAATCTTCACTATGTATTTTGGCCATTGTACATTTTAAAAGATATTCTGAAGAAAAAAAGACATCTGGATTTATTTAATATAAAAAAGCATCACCTGGACGATATAGAAAATTGAAATAAAAAGTGGGGGGAAAAAAACATGTGGAAAAGATGTTTGACTTAATGAACCAGTCATGACAGTGAATGAAGCATTTTAATATTGTGCTGGTCGATGGATAAGCATGAATATCCACACAGGAGAGATGAACAGAGATCACATTGACACCTGATGGCGAGTCTTTGCAGTAAAACAGACTCAAGCTTCAAAAAAAGAATCGCTTTTTGACTGATAATTATTCAGCTGATTTTGATATCTCATTCAGTAGCCAAAAAAGGAGGACCAAACCTAAAAATAATTAGACCTAAATAAATAAATTAACTCGACTTATCCAGTGAATTTAATTTAATTATATTTAATTAATTTTTTTTTATTTTTTATATTAATGTAGGCTAATAATAATCGTTTAATTAAATGTAGCCTAATTATGTTGATTAGTTAATTAAATAATGACTTATATGTTTTTGAAACAAAAAGGCAAGAAATACAAAAATGGCAATTACATGAATTATAGGCTATCTCTATATCTGATCATTTATTCAATTATTTCTGAATTTATTTACCTCAGTGTGCTAATTAGATCATGTCCTTGTGTCTGGAGAAGCCCACAATCATGCAGTAATCATTTGTTGCTTTAATAATATCAAGTTGGAAAAGGCAAAGAAAAGTGGCAGAAATGCATCATTAACACCATGAGGTGGCGCGTGCTGCTGTCTCATTCGCTCTCCGCTGGAACTCTCGCGAGAACACCGAGCGCTGTCAAAGGAACTCTCGCGAGAATTACGTCCGCTGTTGGAGATGCATTTAGGTGATGGATTGTGAGAGGCCTCATTAAGTCACGCAATGAGTGAAATATGTCTTTGTCTCCCCTTTGTCGCAAAGTAATAAAGGGATGCCGAATTCTTCAGCACAGCTGCACATTATTGCACAGCTCTCAGCTAAACGATTTTTTTTATCTCCTCTAATTGATAAATGACAGGATGAAAGGTTATTGTTGTCACGCTAATTGGAGATGGCGGTGAATTACTAACGGGGCTCGTGCGTTTTCTGCTACAGTCTGACTGGACTTTCACAGCCAGCTGCTCACAGACTGGCCAATATGAAATATACACATGGGCATATAGCCTAGAGTGATATTAATTCTAGTGATTAAGCAACACTTGGGAAAAAATATCATATTTAGGCAAACAACAGTAGGCTAATATGGCGTTAAGACAAAGCGTTTTGATTGCATGTCACAATTACAAAATATAAGAACAATAATAGGCTACTAAAACTTAACAATAGTTAAGATTACTGTTAGGGGGATAATTAGGATAAATGAATTATTTTTTTTAGGATAGACCTTAAATGGTAGCCTTATATACTTTACAATCTTTGTCTTATTTCAATCTTTAGTCGTATCATGAATGGAATACAGCTTTGCAGAAATGGACTTCCATTTGCAGGAATGTATCATTTAACCCTTCTATTTTCCTCTCCGGAGAGCTACTCTTTCACTTAGCTTTTTTTCCTGTGAAAGCAGGATTTGATTACTACGGTAAGTAGTAAACATGCAGGTATTTTTCCATCTCAGCTTGTTCTGAGTTCAGGGCCTCCTCTGAGTGTGTGGATGCAGCTCATCTATGGCACTTTCACAGATCAGCTTTCACACAAACAAACCCTCACAGAGGAAACGACTGTATGCAGGTAAATGTTCAATGCCAGGCGTGCACAGACTCAACAATCAACCAGAGAGTGTTACGGATGCTTGTCTTGCTCGGATTTGCCTATGCACACACATCGTTTCTTTTTGATGTGCTTACCTTTTTGTTCAGAATGTTTCTTTGGAATTCTTTGATGCTGAACAATGTGTATAGTCAAATGAATAGCATGGAATAATAAATATTAGCAGTACAGCATGTTACAAATTTAATTTGTTTTCAGAACAAACATACATAATGACTCAGTAATGGTAGGGTGTTACCAATTCTTGTTGCTTGAATCGTTCAGCATCAAATAAACAATGCATTCTGTAGCTGTACTAATAATCTATTTCATATTTCTCATTAAAGTGACAGCTATATGCTTCAAGCAAAAGTATATTTGCCTCTGACTGTGGCTTATTAAAATCACACATGTTTTCTTATGCATTTTCATTTGGCCCAGTCAGACAGCCTTCAGTGATTGACAGATGTATTGATCCCCAGAGAAGCTTTGTGACGGTGATGTGGCATATTTTTATTTACTGCCTGTCTTTAATCCAACCTAGCCACTGCTGACAGTACCGCCTGTCCTTTAAGACAGACACAGTGCCTATTGTGTGAAATGCAGACTCTAGTGTTTGATATGTTGAGGATGCCATCAGGGGAAGCTGTCATGGGTTCGCCAGCACTGTCACCAACATAATAAATCAACTGTCTAGTCATCCATTCATCCTTTTGGCAACTCTCTCCCGGCCTCTGTTCACTTTCATTACCGTTCATCATGAACCTTCCTTTCTTTCTCACAGTTATTAAACTGAACTGAATCAACACTGAACTGACTTTAAGCTGAATAATGACACTATTGTCTTTCGTAGAGCAGAATTTGAATTTGTCTCATATTTGACAATGTTATTTTTTTGTTTTATTACTGTGAAGCTGCTTTGAAACAATCTGTATTCTATAAAGAGCTATAAAGGTGACGACTTTCTTAATAAAATATTTTAGAT